TTTTTATTCATATATATATATATATATATATATATATATATCTACACATATGGTTTGTCAAATGCACACATAATGCCCTGTTCCCGTCAAGAAAATGGCATCATATATTTGCTGATAGTTAAAGCAAAACTAACATTTACAGGAAGAGATTGCTTGTTCCTTTATAGACGCATTGCTTATTGCTCGCTTGTACTGAAGCCTGTCATTTTATCGCTGTTTGTCTGGTTAGAACATGTGTTTGAAGTAAAACAAATAACTTTTAAAGATAGAAATATGTCATGATATAAATATGCCTTCCTACATTTCTGCATGAATCAGTTTTAGAGGCCTGACAGCTGAAGCTTCATAATGTTTAAGGGGTCAGACATGTAAGAGTGGATTATAAACAGTTATGTTTGATATACTGCTGTACTGTTACCCTTCAGACTATGAGATGAGAGCAGCACAGAGTGAGTGAGGAGCGTTACTTACTTCAGAGGACTTGGAGATGCACTGTAGTCCTTCTCATGCCTGACATGCCACTGTGACTGTGATTACAGGCAACACCTGTCACATTTATCTCAAACATAGTCATCTACCTGAAATACAGCTGACCTGTCACAAATCTAGTGAGTTATGTCAAAAATACACCGGGTATGACGTCAGAAGACTGCTGTCTTAGATTTGTCTTGTGAAATGTTACAATTTAACTATGCAGCTTCTTTAGACAGACTGAAAAATATAAAAATAACCATTCTTACTCTAAGATTTTATATTGGGTTATTATAGTCGCCTATTACCAAAACTAAAACCATAAATAAAATAAACATGAACTGAAATTAAAATAAAAATATATATAAAAAACATTTCAATTTTCCTAGTTGCCTCTTTTTTTAGTTTAACTTGATGTACTAAAATAACTGAAACTGAAATAAAATTAATAAAAACAACAACTACTACTACTACTAATAATAATACATTTTAATAACTATAACAGTATCAGAATGATGTTAAAATATCACTGGTATCACCCTTCACAGGAGTAGATTTATTTGTAGTGTAGCAATAATTCATAGATAATATATAAATATAAAAGTGTAAAGTCTAAGACCACACTATTTTATTTTATTTTTTAAATAAAAATATTTTTATTTTATTTTCATTATAATTTTTTCATTGACACTTAAATAAGTTAAAAATAACAATAATTCAGAGAAAAACTTTTATATGTAAGATTCTGCGCTAATCAGATATAAGAAATTTTGTGATAAGCAAATTTGTGAAACTGGCCTTGAAAACTTCTCTGAACAAAAGGTCAGATGTTCTTGTTTCAACTGAAGCACAGGATGCTCTTTGGAATGAATGTCATACTTATAATATAATTTGTAAAGGAATTATTTATATTCAATTAGAAAAGAATACATAAGCATTTTCTCTCGAAAAAATTGTGTTATATCATTTGCATTTTATTTAGAGAAAAAAAACTGCAATTGGACAGTTTGGTTAGTGGCTCATTTTTATATATTGTTTATTTGTGATTTCCCCGTCAATGAAAACTATTATTTGGAATGCCATAAAAAGTAATCTGAATCAAAATATGAATAAAAGGTAAACAAGGAAAATGTTGTTCTCCAAACTGGAAATCTGCTGTGTTGAAGATTGGCTCTGTATGAGAAAGAACGACACAACCAACAATGAAAAAGTTTCCATGGAAACCAGAGGTAAAATCAAACAGAAGTGATTATGTTTTGGTCATACGTGAGCAATTAAAATATTGCTCAGTCGTGTATAATTTCTACTAGAGCTTTTAGTATCACAAGGTTAAACGTTTTAGCTCAGTGTTGAAATTATATATTATATTTATTTAATCTGTTATAGATTAGAGAGTGTTCTTGTCTTGTGCTGCTTGACCCTGTGATGCAGGAAACCTTTGACACCAATCTTTGAATGTCCACAAAGATAAAGATATTCTTGCTGGCAAATAGCTGTTGTTTTCAGCATAAAACAGGATTGTGTGGTTTATAATGACCATGGAGCATTTTTTTGGGGGATCAATTTAATATTTCCTCTGCTAAGTATAGGCGCCAAGCATCCATTTTCAAACGAAAGCCAAATGAGAAATAAACCACGGTTTGATCAACATTGCATGTTGATTCCGCATTGATCTCTGACACTGAAATATTGATTTGACTTTTTAATTGAATTTAATATTTGAAAAGGCTGTAACATGCATGAATTGCTCTATAGAGAGTGTTCTTGTCTTGTGCTGCTTGACCCTGTGATGCAGGAAACCTTTGACACCAATCTTTGAATGTCCACAAAGATAAAGATATTCTTGCTGGCAAATAGCTGTTGTTTTCAGCATAAAACAGGATTGTGTGGTTTATAATGACCATGGAGCATTTTTTTGGGGGGATCAATTTAATATTTCCTCTGCTAAGTATAGGCGCCAAGCATCCATTTTCAAACGAAAGCCAAATGAGAAATAAACCACGGTTTGATCAACATGATATTCACATTGCATGTTGATTCCGCATTGATCTCTGACACTGAAATATTGATTTGACTTTTTAATTGAATTTAATATTTGAAAAGGCTGTAACATGCATGAATTGCTCTCTTTTTCAAGTACAGGGCAAATCATGGAGTGATGTAACATTTTGTTGCAATATCTGTAACTAGGTGATTTGTTGGCCTATGTATCTCAAACTTTAAAGTAATATTACTATATTTAATAATTCCACAAATAAGTCAATAATACAATCATACCATAAATAATATAACGTACACACTATCAGAGTTGACGCAATAGAAAACATGAATGCATTCAAAATTAGAAATGCAATCAAATTCGAATGAATGAATGAATGAATAAATAAAATTGCAATATGCATAATGCATAGGCTAAAAATTAAAAAAATATCAAAATTATAACAGAAACTGATATAGTCCTCTAAATGCCATATTTTTTAAACTCCACTTTATCTTATACTTACAGCTGGTTATGTATAATAATGATTTTTAGACACTGAAACTGATGGTTTTAAAATCCTTCCCGGTTCACCTTGTTTCAAATATAGAAATGTTCATTTCTGCTTTAATTTTAGATGTTTCTACCTATAATCTAGTTTAATATGAAGATGCACAAATATTAGTGTGCAGCTATCATTCATTCCCGTAGATGCCAGAGCTTTGGGGTTGTAAAACCCTCCCATTGAGGGAGGCAGAGCGTTGGGAGGGATGGATGACAGAATGACAGCAGTGCGCTCGGAATAAATGCTCGCGTACCGGAGCAGCAGGAGAGCAGAGCTTCTCACGCGCTGCGTGTTTATACAGCGGCTCGCTCAGACATGCCACGCATCAATGACGATCCTGCTTGAATGACACATTGCAAAATAACATTAGGGCTTATGAAAACATCTAGCTTGCGATGCATGGCTGGCGTTGACACCAAAAACCTTTATTCAAATTCATTATGACTGGTTCCGATGATGCAGTTTGTCGTGCTGCTTTGAGAGATTTATTTAGTGGAAAAAGCATATCACCACACTTCTCTCACACACACACACACACACACACACACACACACACATACACACAGAGACACACAGACAGACAGACAGACAGAGAGAGAGAGAACTTTAGAAACTATGACCCAGTGGTTCAACCTCTTAATGAATGAAATCATGACATTGTGTTTTTTTGTAGGTGTTTCAAAAATAAAGTTGTACACTCAAGCTATTATTTTGGTAGATTAAACTTCATAGTGCAATGTGTATAATTACTATTCATTATGTATAATTTCTACTAGAGCTTTTAGTATCACAAGGTTAAACGTTTTAGCTCAGTGTTGAAATTATATATTATATTTATTTAATCTGTTATAGATTAGAGAGTGTTCTTGTCTTGTGCTGCTTGACCCTGTGATGCAGGAAACCTTTGACACCAATCTTTGAATGTCCACAAAGATAAAGATATTCTTGCTGGCAAATAGCTGTTGTTTTCAGCATAAAACAGGATTGTGTGGTTTATAATGACCATGGAGCATTTTTTTGGGGGATCAATTTAATATTTCCTCTGCTAAGTATAGGCGCCAAGCATCCATTTTCAAACGAAAGCCAAATGAGAAATAAACCACGGTTTGATCAACATTGCATGTTGATTCCGCATTGATCTCTGACACTGAAATATTGATTTGACTTTTTAATTGAATTTAATATTTGAAAAGGCTGTAACATGCATGAATTGCTCTCTTTTTCAAGTACAGGGCAAATCATGGAGTGATGTAACATTTTGTTGCAATATCTGTAACTAGGTGATTTGTTGGCCTATGTATCTCAAACTTTAAAGTAATATTACTATATTTAATAATTCCACAAATAAGTCAATAATACAATCATACCATAAATAATATAACGTACACACTATCAGAGTTGACGCAATAGAAAACATGAATGCATTCAAAATTAGAAATGCAATCAAATTCGAATGAATGAATGAATGAATAAATAAAATTGCAATATGCATAATGCATAGGCTAAAAATTAAAAAAATATCAAAATTATAACATAAACTGATATAGTCCTCTAAATGCCATATTTTTTAAACTCCACTTTATCTTATACTTACAGCTGGTTATGCATAATAATGATTTTTAGACACTGAAACTGATGGTTTTAAAATCCTTCCCGGTTCACCTTGTTTCAAATATAGAAATGTTCATTTCTGCTTTAATTTTAGATGTTTCTACCTATAATCTAGTTTAATATGAAGATGCACAAATATTAGTGTGCAGCTATCATTCATTGCCGTAGATGCCAGAGCTTTGGGGTTGTAAAACCCTCCCATTGAGGGAGGCAGAGCGTTGGGAGGGATGGATGACAGAATGACAGCAGTGCGCTCGGAATAAATGCTCGCGTACCGGAGCGGCAGGAGAGCAGAGCTTCTCACGCGCTGCGTGTTTATACAGCGGCTCGCTCAGACATGCCACGCATCTTCTGAGTGGGACGTCAAGAGAAAAGTCTGAACCGTCCATCGGAATACTGGCAAGGTGATAACCACACTGTTTGATGCGATATTTATAGCCTTTCAAAGTGGAGAGGTAAGTTGCGTTGTTTTCTTTACAGTTGAAAGTATATTTAATGATCAACTCCAAATGCTTTGTGAAATACATACTGTATACTATATGGCTTTGTGAAATGGGCATGTGGAGTTACATAGCAGTCATGCTCAGCAGCAACTGGTGTGTCCTGTTGAACGTGCATGCATGGCTGTAGGTCAGTGCTTCTGATAACTCCTGCATGCAATAGTTAATGCACACGTGTAGTTTTGTGTGTTTTAAATAAGTTTTTGCCTAATTTTGAGAATTGTCAACATGAGTTTGAATCTTTCATCAGTAAGAAAAGGCAACTTACACTGGTTTGAAGCATGCACTCTATTATTTTAATATCTGTACTTGAGATTTATCTAATCATTTTATTCTAATATGTTACTGATTTCATAATAAATTAATTTATCATTATTAAATATTAAATGACCACACAATGTGTGAGCAAAACATCTGTATCTGATAAAGTGGGGGGAAAATTAAGTGGAGAAAAAAAATGCTTACTTAAAATGGGGGAAATATTATATCATATGTCTTTTTAAAGCATTCTATTGTTAGAACAATATCAAAAGTTTGACAAATGCATGTCTGTTTGGCAAAGCAGGAGCTATTTCTACCTGATCTGACAAGTAAATTGCTTTTATTGATGAAACCCAAAGAGGTCAGGTTGATTCAGTCATATGAAATAATATTTTAAATTAATAACCACTGAAGCACATTTTCACAGTGTAGCCTGCCAGCAAAATGTCAATATGTCTATACAGAATGAGCAATGCGTTCCTTTAAGAGCTTTGACATTCATAGTGCATAATTTTCTCAATGTGATATCAGTGTAATCTATAACAAATGCAGTTTTATTTTATCATTCACATGTAGTTACTCAGCTATTGAATGCAAGTGTATTGTAAACAAGAAGTTAATAGATGATGCTGTGAAATTGAAAGTTATTAGTTACGCCTTTGCTTATTCTTTATTACAAAACAGTCCCTGCAGTTGTAATGATTCTCTCCATGATTCTAAATCCGAATGAGTAATGTCGCATTTTGACAGAATTGGACAATAGTTGTTCACACGAGGCCATATGCGTTTCATGCTGCCAAGAAAGGCGAGATGCAGGAGGACTGTAGATTATAAGTGTTTCTAACATGAACGTTCAGTTGAGACTGAGCATGATGCACATGGAGGAAATGCTACTGGCTTGTCAACAGAAAGAAAAGAGTGAATTGAATTCTACATTCACAGCTTGTACACTGTGATATGAGTCAACTCTCAATCACTGAAATGATAAAAAAAAAATATTGTGAAGATTTGAACTGAATGACTTTCTTACAAATAATGACTTGCGTTCAAAGTCAAGCAATAATTCATCCAAAAAAAGAAAATGTGGTCATTATTTACTCACCCTCGTGTCGTTTCAAACTCGTATGCTGTTATTATATTTCTGTGGGACACAACAACAGAAATGGGAAGACTCTTCACAACTTAAAGTATGCTCTGTATTTTGAGTTTTCTGAAGCTGTATGATAGTTTTGTATGAGGCATGAAGAATAATGAAGTTAATTCAGATAATCGTTCCCTCCAGTGATCTTATAATTCAAGAACCTGATCACTGAGTGAGTGATTTAAACCAGATCAGTTTGATTTGTGAACGAATCCTTCTGTCTGATTTGTGATCCAGATCAACGGTTCACTGAAAAAAAAAAACTGTTCATTCACAAATCAGACTTTAAAGCATTGAATATAGAGCATGAGACGTATGGACTACTTTAAATGCTGTTTTTTGTTCCATGATAAAATGACAGCATACACGTTTAGTCTGTTCCTTTAAACCAATTTTTTACTACTGACATAGTTAGACTTAATTAATGTTCTGAATATTTCCTTAAATGCCACAGGATGCCATTTGTAGAATTTAAAAGTGAATGTTGCTAGCCTGTATTGTCTTGCATTTCTTCATGTCTTCGCCTGCCGTGGTTGACACATTTGACATGACGCTCTTCTTTGTCACATTTAACTCAATCACAGATCTGACGCACAGCAAGACACAATGCAGGAATCTGAGCCCAGCGTGTGTCAGCTGCAGCCCAACATCATCTCAGTGCGCCTCTTCAAAAGAAAGATCGGTGGGCTGGGCTTTCTGGTCAAACAACGTGTGTGCAAGCCGCCCGTCATTGTCTCTGACCTCATCCGGGGCGGGGCAGCGGAGGAATGTGGGCTGGTCCAAGTCGGCGACATCGTCCTGGCCGTGAACAACAAGCCTTTGGTGGACCTGAGCTACGAATGTGCACTCGAGACCCTGAAGAACGTGTCGCCTGAGAGCCATGCCGTCCTCATCCTCCGCGGACCCGAGGGCTTCACCACTTACCTGGAGACCACGCTGAGCAGTGACGGGAAACCCAAAACAGTTCGCATCACCAGGCCTGTTAACCCCGCTCAGAGCAGGCCGTGCGATCGATGTTCGCCTCTCAGCCCCAACATGACCAAAGAGCTCCGGGTCATAGAGAACCTGTCCTCTTCCTCTGCTCCCAGGAAAGAACCACGGGAGAGCAAACCCCTAATTCCCCTGCTCACCCAGGACTCTCTGCTCAGAGAAGGAGGCCATTCAGCCCTCCTCCTTAACGGGGTGGAGGAGAACAACGACCTGCTTAAGGAGATAGAGCCAGTGCTGAAGCTCATCAAGAACAGCAAAAAAGAGATAAATGGAGAAGGTCAGAGAGTCATAGAGAGGAAGGATGTTGAAGTGCAGGTGGAGAGGTGAGTTATGTCTTATTATTTTTTTGCAGATTCCAAAAACATACCAATACATACATCTCTCTGCAGTTTCCAACTGTGTCGCCAATAGTGTTTATTCATTTCACACTAATTATGAATGCAAGGGCAAATGATCAGTTAATAAAGACTTATTTTTGCATAATTTCTTCCACAATAGTATGTTATTAACTCAGAAGGCTTTTACCATAGTGCATGATTTGTAAACTAATATTTTTGATATTTGCATCACATAACCAGCTCCATTTGTATGACTTTTCTAATATAGTAAACTTGCTCGGTAGCTCACCAAGTACAGCATAATACTTGCGATGTGGAACGTTTAGGTATGGGTCCCGTGAAACACGAGTCATGATAAATAGCTAAAATGGCATGGTTGCTTCAGCAAATGGGTTTTTATCACACATTTGTGACCCTGGACCACAAAACCAGTCTTAAGTCGCTGGGGTATATTTGTAGCAATAGCCAAAAATATATTGTATGGGTCAAAATGATTGATTTTTCTTTTATGCCAAAAATCATTAGGATATTAAGTAAAGATCATGTTCCATGAAGATATTTTGTAAATTTCCTACTGTAAATATATTAAAACTTAATTTATGATTAGTAATATGCATTGCTTTGAACTTCATTTGGACAACTTTAAAGACGATTTTCTCAATATGTTGATTTTTTTGCACCCTCAGATTCCAGATTCTCAAATAGTTGTATCTCTGCCAAATGTTGTCCTATCCTAACAAATGCCACCATACATCAATGGAAAGCTTATTTATTCAGCTTTCAGATGATGTATAAATCTCAATTTCGAAAAATTGACCTATGACTGGTTTTGTGGTCCAGGGTCACATTTGGTCTTCTTAAAACTAGCGGTTAGGGTAGGGTTTCAGTGGGTGATATGTTACTTTCAAATGCGATAGACCCTGATAGCTTCATTTATTGGACATTTAGTTTCCAAACTCAACTTCCAAACTTAATGTGGTAATCAACAGACAAATCAAGAAGACATCCAGTTCTTAGAATTAGTATACCTTTTAATATAAAAGAAACCCGTGTATGTGCTCCAAGTGCAAATATGATGTTGATGATCAAAATAGTACAATACAGTCTAATGTATAGTATACTCAACATATACTCAACTCATAGTATAGTCTCTAATGTATAGTCTCCCGAAAAAGTCTTTACTACAAACAAATCTGTTAAATATTGCTGCCACTATTGCGAATTAATTATCTAAAGTCTGTGTGACAACTAGCCCCAGTCTGTCTCCCCTATTCATTTATTTGGGAATATGATTTACGAATCACTCGGCAGAGAATATAGACATATTCACACAATATTCATGCTTCAAAAACAATATTTTCTGAGAAAGGTCAGTTTACTAAATGCATTTTCTTTTTGATGAGTGAATTTCATGTTTATTTGGTAAGCTATCAGTGAGTGAATCTGGGAGTGTTTATTCAATTCAGTCTTTGAGATTACTCTTGCGTTTAATGTTCATAGTACGCTTTAGTGATCAGGAAATACTGACAGGCAGTGTGAGAAGCTACCAGCAACATTAATAAGAGAATGGATAAATATAGACATGAATATTATTGTCATTTTGTGATCATACCCCAGTTTTCACAGTACACCATTTGATCTAATTCATTCTATTTGTTATAGCCTAACCACTGAAAGTGTTTTCATAATAAACATAAACTAATATTGTCATATTGTTTAACTGAATGAGACTGCCATCTTCAGAACTGTGAAGATCAAATAAATGTCCTCTCTTTAAAAGCCTCATTAAACAAAACTGGTTAGTTGTAATCCTTGTGGTTCATGAACAGCGGCTGTCCACATTTTTATGTGCTTAAAGTCCCCATGAAATCAAAATTAAAGTTTTTTGGGTGTTAGTATCAATATGTTAGTCTTAAAGTTATCTATAAGGCAGTGTGCTCCAAAACAGTGACAAAATTCGCATTTAGAAGATATAAGCATTCAAAGCTTGCAGTTTGTCACTTCCGCCAAAACGGCTCAATTATTTTTTTTGACGTCACATCGTACTTCAGCTTCTCATCAAACTTTCTGTCCAATCAAATGCTCTCTAGAATCCAAAGCGCCCGCCCCCTACACTATAAAACAGACGCTGAAGCCGCGGCTGAAATCGGTCACTTGTCCACAGAATTTGTATTTTCTGTACAGTGAATGGCAACACATGCGTGAGTCGGCGCAGACCACAAAATGTATGGGAGCTATTTGAATTCTACACAGAATGCTATATTTGATCGCAATATGGATGAGATTGTGGCTGGCATACCCTGTCAAATGGCTTTACGGAGCTCAACGGCTCTGAAAACAGCTCTAGCTCAAGCTGTGATATAAACAAACTCTATTGGCTATTTTAAAAAGGCAGGGCTGCTTGATATGTCCCGCCCTGTCTTCCTGTTTCAGTTAAAATGACGTCAACACATAGAGTAACGCTGCGTGTTTCTAAGCATTTCAGGGGACCTTTAAAGGTGAAGTGTGTATAAATAATGACTCTTTCCAAACAGGTATCCAGAACACTTCCCTCCTTTTTTCCATTGGTCAGTTAAACAAATAGTCCTGCCCCAAACTCACAGCATTGGTTGAGTGATTAGAAATTGCCTCCGAGTGTTTTATCATGTGAAAAAGTGCACACCTCACCAGATTTCTTTTCTATATTTGAAAAACTAAAATTAGGCTTGGAATATTATTCTGACTGGTGAGCAGAGATGGCAGCGTTTCATCTAAAACAAATCGTGCTTCTCTCACTCTTCTCACATTTGTGATGAATGTGTTACTATAAGTCCCATCAACATCAGCTAGGAAAAAAAGTTCTATAAGTGCTTGTTTACACTTTTTAATTACACGTTATACTTCGGATTTACTAATAGACTTATTGTTTGAGTGTCTGGGCACTCGCTAAATCTGATTATGGAATAACTTGAGTATGTATGGATTTGAGGCAATTTACCATTTCATTTAAAAGACAAAATGCACATAGCCTTGAGACATGAATGTTTTAGAGAAATTCAAGTTATAAGCTCTACGGATGGCACATGTCTGAGACATGTTGTTAATTATTATTTTTTTACTAATTCCTTCAGTTTATTAATATAAATGTAAAAAGTGTGGAAAGTATTAGACTTATAGTAGACAAAAAATAATAGAATTTAATGTGTTTTAGTCATTGTACATACATCCAAATTTCTGGCTGGTGTTTGAGCTGTGAGCTGAACTGTTTGTGACTTTCAGAGACCTTGGTGCGGGAAATGGACAGAACGCCCAGCTGGCGTCGGATAACGACAGAGTGTTTGATGACCTCTGGAGAAAGGACAATATGCCTACAGTGCTTAACAACCCTTACTCAGAGAGTGACAAGGTAAAATACAGTCTTAATGGCTTTACATGTGGCTTTGAAGGACTGTGAGTGAGTCAGTAATCTAGCATTTCTTTTTTTAAAGGTGCAAGTATAGAAATATAGAAGCTGTACTTACTGTTAATATGGCAGGATCTACTTGACAGCCGGCTTTTTATTCTCTATTTCTTTAGAAGAACTTTGAACTTTGAAATTGTACTTGGGATTTAAAGCAGTGGTTCTCATGGATCATGAAAAGCAGGGTAAAACTATGCTAACTACTACTAATAAAATGCAACTAAATGTATGGGTGCTTATATATGAAAATCGAAATGAAAAACCAAAATAGAAATGTTTTTAACATTGATCATGTTTCTTGAACAGCAAATCAGCATATTAGAATGATTTCTAAAGGATCATGTGACACTGAAAACTGGAGTAATGATGCTGAAAACTTTACCATCACAGGAATCAATTACATTTTAAAATATATTCAAATTGAATTTTTTAAAATGTTAATTATTATAATATTTTACAATATAATTTTAAAGCATTTTAATCAAATAAATGGAGCACTGATGAGCATAAGAGATTTTTTTTAAAACATCTCATCAACCTCAAACTTTTAAATGGAAGTGAACTTATCTAAATTACACTTCTGCTGTGGATTAATTACAAAACAATTTTTTTGTACAGCCTCAAATGATTTGAACAATTTTGGATATTGTTTGTGCAATTCATGGAAATGTTAATTGGTTAGTTCACCCAAAAATTTAAATTCTGTCATTAATTACTCACCCTGTAAAGTTACGAAGCTACGAGAATATTTTTTTGCGCAAAGACAACAAAAATAAACACGCCACACGCTCGCGTCATTGTACTGTCGTGGACGCGCGTCCAAAGTGACGCAGTAGAGACGAAAATGTGGAATAAAGTCGTTATTTTTGTTTTCTTTGCGCAAAAAAGTATTCTCGTAGCTTCGTAACTTTACAATTGAACCACTGATGTCACACAGTCTACTTTGTCAATCATCTTGGTACTTTTCTGGACCTTGAACGTGGTAGTTACCTTGCTGTCTATGGGAGGGTCAGAGAGCCCTCAGATTTCATCAAAATTATCTTAAATTGTGTTCCGAAGATGAACGAAGGTCTTACGGGTTTGGAATAACACGAGGGTGAGTAATTAATGATATAATTTTCATTTTTGGGTGAACTAACCCTTTAATGAATTTTAATGTTTGGCTATATTAATTTTTTTGTTTTGTACAATATCTGCATTGAGATATCCCATGTAAAATCTGGGTCCTGAAGCAGAACCAGTTGAGAACCACTGATTCTAACAACCCAGAAACAAAGCAAAGCAAAACAAAAAACAACAAAAAAATGCTGACTGAGCTGAAGAACCTATAATGTAGCTTTAAGCATGTTTTCCAAATAACCATATAGAAAACATGAGACATGAACCATATAATTCAGCAAAGCAGCTTTATTTGAGTGGTTTTAAAACTCTAACCATATATATATATATATATATATATATAAAATAATAATAATAAAAGCACACCTACAAATAAAATGATCTATAAAATAAGATTTAAGTGGATTCTGCATGTCAAGTAGTTCAGCTTGCAAGTAACCATATGAAAGCCTCTCTCTAGTGCCCGTCACATGGTCTTCTCTGTACCTGCCAGCTCAGTGCTGGTGTAGCATGTGTTTCTACAGTCCTGGTTGTGGGGGTTGCAGTGCTTACAATTCACATCAGCACATGACTCTCATCTGGCCTCTTATGACGCATTATCCCTCTGAAAGAAACCGGATGGATGGAGGCGATCCAAGAAAGCAGAGGAATGAATGGATGCAGCTGTGTGGTCCAAGACGGAGTTGTTCTCTTTCTATGCTTAAAGTAATACAGTGTCTGCTGGATGATTAATCATCAGTGAGTGAGACGAGGAGGGGGTGAGTGAGAGAGTACAAGAGAAACAGAAAGACAAGAACATGGGACCACGGCAGCATGTAATTGTTAGGCTCAATGTCTGACAGAAAGATGCAATGACTGTTGAGATTATATATATATATATATATATATATATATATATATATATATATATATATATATAT